TCATTTAGTGAGCATTCAAAGTTACAACAGCACTGAAAAAAGTGACTTATGACTATTTTTCCCACTTACGGCCATGGCAGCATCCCCCAGGTCATGTAATCAAAATTCAGATCTTAGAAACTGACTCATATTTATGACGGTTGCAGTGTCCTGGAGTTATGTGATCACCTTTTGCGACCTCCTGACAAGCAAAGTCAACAGGGTTGCCAGATTCACTTAACAACTGTGCCACTAATTTAACAATTACAGTGATTTACTTAGCAACTGTGGCAAAAAAAGGTCATAAAATGGATCCAGGAAATTATAGACCTATCAGCCTGACCTCAATACCTGGGAAGATTCTGGAAAAGATAATCAAACAACAAATCAGCAAACACCTACAGGCAAACAAAGTTATTACTAAAAGCCAACATGGGTTTGTCAAAAACAGATCATGCCAGACAAACTTTATTGCATTCTTTGACCAAGTGACAAAATTAGTGGATCAGAGGAATGCTGTCGATATAATTTACTTGGACTTCAGTAAGGCATTTGATAAAGTAGATCACAACCTACTACTCAATAAGATAGAAAAATGTGGGTTAGACAGTGTTGTGTCCTGAGCCTGCAAGAGGCAGGCTCGGGACGTTGCAAGAGTCCCGGGCATTTGCAGAAGCTGCCTGGGACCAGACTGAGCGGCGCCAGCCTTGTGCGCATGCGCAAGGCAGGAAAAGCCCGCCTAATGATTGGTTGAACTTGCCCGGGGATGAGAGGGTATAAATAGAGGCCTGCGTGCCTCTGCTCTGGTTGTTCGTAGAGTGGAGCAAACAATAAAGACTTGTTGGAGATGAATCGTCTCAAGCGCCATTATTCCCAGGACTTAACAGACAGCATCACCACCAGATGGATCTGTAGCTGGCTGACCGGCCGTACTCAGCGTGTGGTCCTCAATGGAACCGCATCTACATGGAGGGAAGTGTGTAGTGGGGTGCCCCAGGGCTCTGTTCTGGGCCCAGTGCTCTTCAACATCTTCATCAACGATCTGGACAAGGGGATAGATGGGGAACTCATCAAATTTGCAGACGACACCAAGCTGGCAGGAATAGCCAACACTCCAGAAGACAGACTTAGGATACAGGAGAATCTGGACAGACTTGAACACTGGGCACTATCTAACAAAATGAAATTCAATGGTGAAAAAAGTAAGGTTCTATATTTAGGCAAGAAAAACCAAATGTACAGGTATAGTATAGGGGGTACCTTACTCAATAGTAGTAACTGTGAGAGGGATCTCGGAGTCCTAGTGGACAATCATTTAAATATGAGCCAGCAGTGTGCTGCAGCTGCCAAAAAAGCCAACACAGTGCTAGGCAGCATTAACAGAGGGATAGAATCAAGATCACTTGAAGTATTAATACCACTTTACAATGCCTTGGTAAGGCCACACTTGGAATACTGCATCCAGTTTTGGTCACCAGGATGTAAAAAAGATGCTGAGATTCTAGAAAGAGTACAGAGAAGAGCAACAAAGATGATTAGGGGACTGGAGGCTAAAACATATAAGGAATGGTTGCTGGAATTGGGTATGTCTAGTTTAACAAAGAGAAGGACGAGGGGGGACACGATAGCAGTGTTCCAATATCTCAGGGGCTGCCACAAAGAAGAGGGAGTCAAGCTATTCTCCAAAGCACCTGAAGGCAGGACAAGAAGCAACGGATGGAAACTAATCAAGGAGAAAAGCAACCTAGAACTAAGGAGAAACTTCCTGACAGTTAGAACAATTAACCAGTGGAACAACCTGCCTCCAGAAGCGGTGAATGCTCCAACACTGGAAATTTTAAAGAAGAGACTCGACAGCCATTTGTTTGAAATGGTGTAGGGTTTCCTGCCTGAGCAGGGGGTTGGACTTAATGACCTCCAAGGTCCCTTCCAACTTTATTACTATTACAATTGAAAATGGGGCAAAACTCATTTAACAACTGTCTTGCTTAGGAACAGAAATGTTGGGCTCAATTGTGGTTGTAAATTGAGGACTACCTGGCCTATCTTCCTCTGTCCAAAAGGAAGAAACTATGCTTGTGTTGCGGAGAACAGAGATGGCATCCAAGAAAATTGTTGGTAACTGCTGGGAAAACACAAGCTTAGCTCAAGAAAACAGGAAGGTGTGAGAAAGAAACTCAAGGCTGTTCCTCCTTAATTCTCTTGAGTATAATAGAGAGGGAAGGAGAAATCTATGAGGCTTTCAAAATTCTTTTATTATACCCTATATCAGGGCTCTTCAAACTTGGCCCTTTTGTGACTTGTGGACTTCAACTCCCAGAGGCTGGGAATTCTGGGAGTTGAAGTGCACAAGTCATAAAAGGGCCAAGTTTGAAGAGCCCTGCCCTATATCAATAAGATAGAGATCAAGGATTTCTTGTGATATTTGTTTCTTGATTTGGCCTACCTGAAAGGGCTGACAGCTGGGATGATAGAGAACATCCGGGAGAGTTGAAGGGAGTGTTAGGATAACATTCCTCTGTTGATATCTGGTTGTGGCTTCTATGGTGGCTATTTTATAAATAGGTAATGCATTTTGTGGTCACATCTCTCAACACTGTAGCTTCAAATCTCCATTTATTTATAATGCCTTGGTAAGACCACACTTGGAATATTGCATCCAGTTTTGGTCACCACAATATAAAAAAAATGTTGAGACTCTAGAAAGAGAGCAGAGAAGAGCAACAAAGATGATTAGGGGATGGAGGCTAAAATATATGAAGAATGGTTGTAGAAATTGGATATGTCTAATCTAGTGAAAAGAAGTACTGGGGTAACATGATAGCAGTGTTCCAATATTTGAGAGGCTGCCACAAAGAAGAGGGAGTCAAGCTATTCTCCAAAGCACCTGAAGGCAGGACAAGAAGCAACGGATGGAAACTAATCAAGGAGAGAACCAACTAGAAATAAGGAGAAATTTCCTGACAGTTAGAATAATTAGTCAGTGGAACGACATGCCTCCAGAAGTTGGGGTTGCTCCAACAGTGGAGGTTTTTAAGAAAAGATTGGACAACCACTTGTCTGAAATAGTACAGGGTTTCCTGCCTGAGCAGTGGGTTGGACTAGAAGATCTCCAAGGTCTCTTCCAATTCTGTTATGTCTGAAGGTAAGAAGAAAGGATTCTCTTCAAAGTAACCCTTTGCTGGTTCACACAACCAGAGTAACTTTGGTTCAGGTGCTTTTCCTAAACTTGGATTCCTACTGTGATTAAGGCTCTCCTCTTTGGGCACATTTTGATCCAAGAGCCATATCTGTGCAACGTACCCGCCTCTTGAAATCATCTGCCACCTTATGTAAAGATGCCTGATGGATGATGAAAGGCGTTGAGGATCTTTTCTCTACCAACAAGATGACTCATTGGCTTGAGTCACCCAAAATCATTTTCTCTAAATACTGTTAGATGGAGTTATGAAACATCCTTATCCAGTCGATACAAAATAATAAAAGGAAACAGACTTGCTGGCTCTTTTAACCTTATCCAACTTCACGTGTCCTCAATGCCAATTTAAGATATCCTGAAATTTCTTCTGCTTTTGCTGGAAACATTTGGCTCTGGGGTTGAGTTGACATGTCTTCAACTCTGATACATCTGACTGTAGCTCAAGCATTCCTGATAACCCAGGGGCAGGCAACCTTGGCTCTTTTATGACTCGTGGACTTCAACTCCCAGAATTCCTGAGCCAGCCATGCTGAGGGGAAAGGGAGAGGTTTCCAAGCTGAGCCATGCTGGCTCAGGAATTCTGGGAGTTGAAGTCCACGAGTCATAAAAGAGCCAAGGTTGCCTACCCCTGTGATAACCTCTATTTTTGCCATATTAGAGAACCAATTTGGTGTAGAGCTTAAGGCACCAGGCTAGAAACCAGGAGACCATGAGTTCTAATCCCATCTTGGCATGAAAGCCAGCTGGGTGACTTTGAACCAGTCCCTCTTTTAGCCCAACCCACCTCCCCGGGTCGTTGTTGTGAGGAAAATAGGAGAAGAAAGGAGTATTACGTATGTTTCCTGCCTTGAGTTATTTATAAAAATAATAATAAAAATTCTAAAATGTAGTTCAACAAGCCTGGAGGGCCATTTCATTTCTCTTTTATTATTATTTTTTGGCTTTCCATACAAAATATTTTTTCTGCTTTCTTCAAAATATGCCAACTTCCCCTAATTCCTTGTTTTTTTTCACTTAATGAAGTTTTATTTGCTATCTGAAGTCTTTATTTGCTAAGTTGAAGAAGAAAGTTAAAGCAGCGGCATGTGTCATCACTGCTGTGTTCTGTATAAAAATGTGACTGTTGTTCCTCTGGGTGCAGAGCTGTGTAAAATGCCAGTTTTCACCAGGTTTCACTGCCTGAGAACCTTGCCAAGATGGGAGTGGTAACAGGCAGATGAGTTAAGCATTGTTTTTATTCTGGGAAAGCATCAGGGGATGCTCTCTCAGCCCCTCTGCTCTAATAAATTAGAGAGAATCAGCAATGCTGCAAATAAAAACACCAAGTCTTGTACTTCACACTTTCCAAACTCTTGTGGGTTTAAGACAGTGTTTCTCAACCTTAGCACCTTTAAGTTGCGTGGACTTCAACTTCTGGAATTGGCTGGGGAATTTTGGGAGTTGAATTCCACATATCTTAAAACTGCCAAAGTTGAAAAGCATCGGTTTAAAGAGTTGCAGCAGGAATGCCATGTGTGTACCACTCCAAAGCACCTTTTTGTTTTCAACTCTAAAGCATAGCACAGCCCTCTGTCCTTATGTCCATCCTCCATCCAGTTCCCCCATTTAGAAAAAATTCTCAGATGAATCTGCTTAATTGACTAACAGACACAGAGAGAGAGAGAGAGAGAGATTCACGGTGCCGGCTCCTTTAAGAACAGCTTCCTGTTTCCGGTTCGCTTCCGGTTGCTCCTGAAGTCACTATTTCTGTCGCCCTTGTACCTTCCGTAAGACATACGTTCTCACCACGCATGCGCAGCCCGGGAAGTTCTTTTTATTTTTTTTCTTCCCAGACCCTAGTTCTGCGAGTTGATCCACGCGGGGTTTTTGCTTCTGCTGCGCGCAGCGACAAATATGGTGAGCGCAGCGTGATTTTGTGTGGGGTAATAGCTTTGCTCTGTCGGGGTGGGGAGGGACGGGGGATTTTAATCATTTATTTTGGAGATGCCTGGGTGAATCAGTCTTTGCACTTAGAAATCGCGTGTGAATCCGATTTTGCAGCCCGGTAAACTTGTGTTAGGCATTGTTAGCTGGGATCATAACAACAGAGGCTCGTAGCGCCAAATCCTGAATGAGGACGTATACAAAGTATCTGCAGGTGCTCAAATCGCCAATGATTTTTTTCCTGAGGCCGTAAAAACGTGTTTATTGAATGTCTACTTTTAAAAAGGACCTGCTTTTTAAGATGAAGGATATACTGCATGCATATGTAACATGTGGGTGTACATATGTAGGGCATGCATTAAAAAGTTAAAAATAATTTAATCCCGTTGCTCACTGATGCAAACCAGGAATATAGTCACTTGGGAACTGCTTACTGGGTGCAGAGAGAAGTGGAGTCTTTCTGCTACTGAAACTGATATGCCATTTTTTTTGTCAAAGGAAAAAAAAAAAACCAAATCCAGTTGGTTTTTGGAAAAAGTATCTTTGGGACAATCATGACCTGGATGATTGAGAATCTCCATAGACCTGGTATGCCATATAAGGCATTCTTTTTCAACTTTAAGATGTGTGGACTTCAAGCCTCAGAATTGCCCAACCAGCATGGGAATTCTGGGAGTTGAAATCCACACATCTTAAAGTTGCTGAAGTTGAGCATAGCTGCTGAAATGCATAACAAGCTGAATGTTTGCTAACTGTAAATGTGTAATTTATTTTAATGAGGATTTGCACATGTTTGAACACATGTACGGTAGTTTTTGCTCAACACTGTTGTAGTATTTATTGGGCTTTAGAGTAATAATAATAATAATAATAATAATAATAATAATAATAATAATAATAATAATAAAGTTGGAAGGGACCTTGGAGGTCATCTAGTCCAACCGCCTGCTCAGGCAGGAAACCGTTTACCATTTCAGACAATGGCTGTCCAGTCTCTTCTTAAAAACTTCCAGTGTTGGAGCATTTACTACTTCTGGAGGCAGATTGTTCCACTGGTTAATTGTTCTAACTGTCAGGAAGTTTCTCCTTAGTTCTAGATTGCTTCTCTCCTTGATTAGTTTCCACCCGTTGCTTCTTGTCCTGCCTTCAGGCGCCTTGGAAAATAGCTTGACTCCCTCTTCTTTGTGGCAGCCCCTGAGATATTGGAACACTGCTATCATGTAATAATGTAGTGTGAGACTACATTATTTTTTGTGTGTAATAAAAAATAGGTATTCTGTAGATATACTGTAGTTATGCACTGGATTGTGAAATTATTCTTAAAGCTTGCTTTATGTTCATTTTTTTCCCTTTATCCTCAGCTCTTCTATTCCTTCTTCAAATCCCTAGTAGGGAAGGACGTAGTGGTCGAATTAAAGAATGACTTGAGGTATGTTTTTATTCACAGCTGTTTGGCTGCAAATGAATGCTGATTTCTTTGTGACCCTAGCCTTCCAATTTCCAGTTTCTAGGTGCTTTCTCCTTAATAAACCCACTCCTTTTAGTTTTCATTCCCTCTTTATTTAATTCACGAGATTCTCTTGTGCTTTTAAAGAACCTTTATCACCTTAACTCTGAATTGTGTTTCCTTTGTTTTTTTGTAGCATATGTGGGACCTTACACTCTGTAGATCAGGTATGAATTATTTCTAACCTTTCTTTGCAACCCTTCTAAAGAATTTTTTTTTTGCATTCTACCTAAGTAGGTCTGTGTTGTTTGAAGGATTATTTTGGTATTCCTATGTCTGAAATATTTCTACACCTCTGCTGTACATACAGTCATCCTTCAGTGTATTTCATTTTGTATTCTGTCTTTGCAGTAGTTCAGGGCAGCAAACAAATTTATTTTATCCCCACTCGCATTAACAAGAAATCAATGGCAATGATCTCTACTTTTGCACCTCTCTAAAGTAATAACTTTGTGGACAATGCCACAAACAATTTGGCTGTGGAAAATCTCCGAGATTGTCTTTCACTGAGGTGAAAAGAAACTAGTGATGATTTTGGATAGGCAGCCTCGAATGACTTGGGAGATAAATCTCAGGATATACAAAATATCTTGCTTGTTTACTGAACTGTCTTTTCTTTCTTCCCTGATTCCACAGTACTTGAATATTAAGCTCACAGACATTAGCGTGACAGACCCAGAAAAATACCCTCATATGGTAAGTGCTCATGTAATGGCCGTGGCAGGATTTGAAAAATATGGATAAATGGCAGTTTCAAAAGTATAGACAAATGTTTATTAGCTTTTCATTTTCACCAAGAAGGCATTATACCAGGGGTCTTCAAACTTGGCCCTTTTGTGACCTGTGGACTTCAACTCCCAGAATTCCTCAGCCAGCGTGCCTGGCTGACAAATTCTGGGAGTTGAAGTCCACAAGTCACAAAAGGGCCAAGTTTGAAGACCCCTGCATTATATCATATATTACTTTTGAATATATTTTTAACTGTAGCTTTTCATAATCTATTTTAACTATCCTGTTTTTTTAACTTTATAATCAGCAATTTTGAGTGTAGAATTAAAAGGGCAGCATAAAACCCCATCCATGGCTATTGCATGACTATTGGGGAGTGAGAAAGTGACTGAAATTGAATAATTCCATCTTATTAGCTGGCCCAGCTTTTATCTATTGATTTTTTTTATTTAGTCAATTTACATGACACCCATCTTACAAATCTGATCCTTGCTGTGACTAGCAGCACATTATGAACAATGCAAAAACATTCAATGTAACATAAAAAAATAATGTCCAGCAAGAACAAGCTCAATAATTACAAGCAGTCCTTGACTTACAACCATTCCTTTAGTGACCGAAGTTGCAACACCACTGAAAAAAGTGACTTATGGCCGTTTTTTCACATGACTGTTGCAGCATCCCCATGGTCACGTGATCAAAATTGTGATGCTTGGCTCATATTTATGACGGTTGCAGTATCCCAGGGTCATGGGATCACCTTTTGTGACCTTCTGACAAGCAAAGTCAATGGGGAAGCCAGAGTCACTTAACAACCCTGTTACTAACTTAACAACGGCAGTGATTCACTTAACTGGGGCAAGAAAGGTTGTAAAATAAGGGGGGAAAACCCTCACTTAACAAATGTCCCGCTTAGCAACAGAAATTTGGGTCTCAGTTGTGGCCATAAGTCGAGGACTACCTGTATTCAGCAGAACAATAACATCACCCCAACATCTAACCTGACCCCCATGCCCTGGAGATGTGATTCTTATTTATTTTTTTTAAATGGTGTGGTACAGGTAGTCCTCGAGTTTACGACCACAACTGAGCCCAAAATTTATGATGCTAAGTAAAACATTTGTTAAGTCAGTTCGCCCCATTTGATGACTCCTTGCCACGGTTGTTAAGTGAATCATTGCAGTTGTTAAATTACCAACACGGTTGTTATATGCGAATCTGGTTTCCCCATGGATTTTGCTTCTCAGAAGGTTGCAAAAGGGGATTACATGACCCCCAAGGACACTGCAGCCGTCATAAGTATGAACCAATTGCCAAGCATCCGAATTTTGGTCACGTGACCCTGGGGAATGCTGCGATGTTCATAAGTGTGTAAAAGGGTCACAAGTCACTTTTTTTCAGTGCCGTTGTGACTGAACGGTCACTAAATGAAGTGTTAAGTCGAGGATTACCTGTATTTTAACAGTTTGCTTAACAGTGGCTGACAAGATTAGATAAACAATTAAGCATAGGAAGCCAACACTGTTCCAAAATGCCACACGGCTAAAATAATTCTTATTTTAGCTGAATTATACCTGGCTGCCTGAATAGCTTGAGTTTAAGACCCCCTGATCCTTACACAGCCCTCCAAGGCTCTTCTCTGTTTCTCTCCAGTTGTCGGTCAAGAATTGCTTCATTCGTGGCTCTGTTGTCCGCTATGTCCAACTTCCAGCCGACGAGGTGGACACTCAGCTCTTGCAAGATGCTGCTCGCAAGGAAGCCCTCCAGCAGAAGCAGTGATGGAAATTTATTTTATTTTTTTTATTCTCTCTGTGTGACTTGACCTTCCCTGAAGAAGAGCTGCAGAAGGGTGGAAGGTCACATTATCTCTTTCTCTGGGAAGTACCAGCAAAGTTAGCATCGTAAATACGGCCACCCACGGTATTTTCCTTGGATACAGATGATGCTCCCACTTGCTAATGTTTGTGCTTGTTCCTTTGCTTTTTTTAAGTGCAGCCTCCATAATGGTTAAATATATTCGCACCAATCTCCATCTCCCAGGACTGCTGGCGATGAAGCTCGGCGAGCACTAAATTGAAGAAGAAATCTTAGATCATCCCTTTCCCGTTCAGACCCAGTAATAAAATCCTTCCATTATTGGTCCTCTTCCTTGCTCAACAGTGAAGAGTACTGTTGAGTAGCAGGAAAGTTCAGTTTGGGTCGAGGATTGATACTCAACCATGAAAATTATTTCTGTAGCTTGTTTGCCCTACAAAGTGGTCTTCTTCATGTATCACCAGCCCTTTCTAATTTCCTTCTGTCTGATGCAACACAGTTAATGCTGGTGGGATTTTTTTTTCTTCATGTTGATGTATTCCCTATTTATAGGATTTGAAAAAAACACTTTCCTAGGAAGGACCTGCAAGCTTCTGAAGTATGGAGGGTGTCAGGTTTATTTGTGTTATGCACACAATATAATACCATTCAGTGTCAACCCAAGCTTTTTCCATTGTAATATAAAACGGCAGGTGCGTTTTCTCTGACCATTAGAAAAAGTTGCAGGTTGAGTCCTGCTGTTTGAGTTTTTTTTAACATTTCACTGGTTTTGTTGTCGTCTTTATATTTCTTGTTATTCTTACATTTTATGGGATATGTACTTTTTTTTTAAGGAAGATTTTTTGAAAGCATAATGATTTGTTCAACGAAAAGTGGACAATTAAAAGTTTGATTTGAAAGATGGAATTGGTTATGGGTTACCGTGTTATGTATTTTTAAAAACAGCATATAAACGTTCCTGCTTGTACCTCTAAAGTGGGTGGGCAACAGCACCTTGGCTTTTAAAGTACAGGAAGTCCTTGACTTAAAACCACAGTTGAGCCCAAAATTTCCATCACTAAGCAAGACAAGTACATTTTGCTCCGTTTTATGACCTTTCTTGCCACAGTTATTAAGTGAACCACTGCACTTAAAGGAATCTGGCTTCCCCATTGACTTTGCTTGTCAGAAGGTCGCAAAAGGTGATCACATGACCCCAGGACACTGCGACCGTCATAAATACATGGCAGTTGCCAAGCTTCCGAATTTTGATCACATGACCATAGGGATGCTGCAATGATCATGTGAAAAATGGTCATAAGTCACTTTTTTCAGTGCTGTTGTAACTTCAAATGTTCACTAAATAATAATAATAAAGTTGGAAGGTGCCTTGGAGGTCATCTAGTCCAACCCGCTACTCAGGCAGGAAACCCTATACCATTTCAGACAAATGGCTGTCCAGTCTCTTCTTAAAAACTTCCAGTGTTGGAGCATTCACCACTTCTGGAGGCAGGTTGTTCCACTGGTTAATTGTTCTAACTGTCAGGAAGTTTCTCCTAAGTTCTAGGTTGCTTCTCTCCTTGATTAGTTTCCATCCGGTGCTTCTTGTCCTATAGTACAGCTCCTGGCTTAAATACAGTGGAATGGACATATTGGGTAACATTAGCTTTGCTGCTTTTATAACATACTGGCTATATTATGTCATATCTTTTTAATATTAACATCAGCAAGGAATGTTATATAAGGCATGGGCATAACTGAGGCTGAAAACAAAGTCTTTGTTATCTGAAAACCTTGACTGACGAAACTCATGGTGGGCAGCCCAGATGTATAATTTTGGGTTGATTTGGAAAAGACCACGGCATAGGGAAGCCATAAATGTGCAATGTAAAAGATTAAAGGACAAGATGTATCAATGAACGAATAAATGAAAACTGGAGTATTGTATTTGGAAACCGACTTGCAAGAAAAAATTGATGTGGAAGAAAAAAGTTAAATGAATGTGAGAAGATGAAATAATTGGAGAAAAAAGAATAATTACTCTCCTCCCCCAAACTGAATGGAGAGTGGACATGAAGGAAGAGGATGTGGAAACTGGTTGGGACAGTGAAAGAATTGTGTTACAGGGTGCTAGAGATGCTTGGTGGAGGAGCCAAGAGCTGCAAATAATGAGGATAGGAAAATATATATGTAGGTATGTGTGTGTGTGTATACACACACGGGAGCTGCAAAGAATATAATTTGAGAGTAAGAAATGGTTATGATTCAAAAAAGCATTTTTTTTTCTATTTTGTAGGAAAGAAAAAGTCCTGTAGGAAAGAAAAAGTCTAAACCAGTGGATAGAATTAAAAATAAGTGGTGAAATAATTTGGGATGAAAATGAAATAAAAGGGATGCTGGAAGGAGTATATTTATTTATAAAATTTATAGGCCGCCCATCTTACCTCAAGGTAAATCTGGGCAACTTAACAATTATAACAATATTTTGATATTGGTATGGGAATAATAGCGATATGTCAAAGAAATGGGATTAAAACAACTGTCCAAGGAAAAAAAAATCTTGAGGTCACAAATGTGAGAATTCTGAAAACTGGAGGTTATGACTGGAGAAATGTTAAAACGGGTGTGGTTTGCAAGTGCAAACAACAATTTCATGTGGGCATGAAGACCAAATTGTTGCTGGTTTTAGGAAGAATTTTCTTTAAAAAGGAAAAGGTAACAAGACTGAATGCAGTCACTACACAGTAATTCGTTTGACAAGGGCTTTGGAAGGGCTTTGGCAGAATCCTGGTTGATAGGGGACAAGGAATAAGGTTTAGGAAAGGCAACACAGCTTTATGAGAGCCAGTTTGGTGTAGTGGTTAAGGTCAAGGTTCAGGACACCATAACTTCTAGTCCTGTCTGAGATAAAGCCAGTTATGTGACCTTGGGCCAATCTCTTAGCTCTAGAAAGGAAGAAGCCAAGGCAAACCACATCTGAAATCTTGCCCAAAAATCTGTAGGGACTTGTTCAGACAACCACCAGGAGTCAACACTGAGTTAAAAGCTCTCTCCCTGTAAATAAGATAAAACAAGCAAGCAGTTTTCTACTGGGGTTGGATTGTCAAAGTAGTCTTTAGAGCCTTAAGATAATTGTATAAGAATTTGAATTAAAACATCTTTAATACAAATAACTTCTCAGGGGAAGCTGGCATATATACACCCATGTTTCTTTGCAGATGGCAGCAAAAGTCAATTTTTGCAAGAGCCACAAGAGGCCTTGAGGATCTTTTGACCGAACAGCGGAAAAGAAATATTTTTGAAACTCAGTCCAAATGTGAGCGGCTTACTAATAAAAGCATAGGAAGGGGCAAGCTAAAATTGGCATACTGTCTTATTATTTCTTTCTCTCTGCAAGCCGTCTTCTGTTAAATGAGTGAGCTGTGGGTGGTGCTATTTCAACACTCGGAGCAATTCTATGGTCTCCCATCAGGATGTCTTGGGAATGAGCAGATTGTTATATAAAGCCCTTGCTGAACAGTTAAGTCATATTTGGTTGCATGGATCCTTTCTGGGTAATTTAAGTTCATCACTGATGGAAATCTTTTCCCCACTCAGAACATATTGTCTTGTAGTTTATGCATGCACAGAGGGCCAACTTTTCATTGGTTTCTCCACATTTTGTCAACTCTACCTGGTAAGAGTTTTGTTTCTGCACAAAGATGTATAATTCACACCCGAAGTTATCTCTGCAACCAGAACAGATTCTGGGTTTTAATTTTGTACAAATCGTACAAGTGGCTGAGCATTTTCTAGAGTTCAAATACTTCTGTGCTGTATATCTCTTCTCATGTTGGATGAGTTGATCGCTGGTTAGTGTCTCAACCTCTGCAATGTTAAGTTGTGTAGACTTCACTCCCAGCCACCCATGGCTAGCTAGGGAAATTCTGGGAGTTGAAATCTGCACAGCTTAATGTCACTTAGCCTGGGTTAAAACATTTCCTTTTTGCACTTTGAAGATTCCTGCTACCTCAAGTTCTGAGGGCCAGCTTAGTGTAGGCCACTTGCTAACTAGAAACTAGGAGAGTGAATTGTAGGCCTCTCTTAGGCATTCATGCCAGCTTGGGGCCAGTCACTCTCAGCCCAACTCTCTTTACAGGATTGACGTTATGGGGAAAATAAGAGGTATGATTAGGTATGCTCACTGCCTTGAATTGTATACCAAAAAAATGAGGTAAACAGATTATTGATCACTGTCCAGCTCTTTTTAATAATCAACAAGCCTTCAGTTTTCCCTCAAAACCTGTATGTTTTTCCCCCTACTTTCAGGATTTCTCATTTCCTAGAATCAAAGATGATAGTTCTCCATGAGAAATTTCCTCCACTGCACAATAATATAGAGACAAGACACTGCAGCATTACAAAGGATTCTCTTTTACCATGAATATTTTTATTTCCAACTCCAGTGTTGGATTTTCTCAATTAGCTTATTCCTCTTCATTCTGTCAACAATTATGCTTCTTTAAAAGGGCCAAAATTTTGCAATACTGCCAGTCTAGATATCACCAGCCAAGTCTATACCAGTTCACCTGATGCTCTGGACCACAACTGGCAGTTGTGCTTCATCACGTCTGGAAGTTTCAGCTGAGAATGAAACACAACATAACTGTGGAGCACTAGCTCCGCGAATGATAGTAGTTGTAGTCTTCGACACCATCAGCTTCAGGATGATGGGAGTTGCACCTGCAGATCAAACGTGGCTTGCACAGCATCCTCGACCCAAGAGGTGCAATACTTTTTTCCCACCACGAGGGGGAACTCGGCTGTTTCCTTTGCAGGGAATGTCCTCGGTCATAGCTATCAACTCAGGTTCAACTCGGTCGCCAAAGCTCAGCTGCAGGCAGTTGTGCAATGCCTTAGACTGGTACTCAATGTACGGACCCACAACTGGGAAGTTGTCCATTGCAATCACAACTCCATACTTTAACTTAAATCTGAATGGAGCTCGCGCGAAAGAAAGCCACGCCCACGTAAGTTCGCCGGAAGTGTAGACGAGTTTCCCGATTTACCGGAAGTTAAATGTGAGACGTTCTATCAACGTCGAAGCGGCTTTTGATGCGCTCTATGATCATCCGACAGGGTTGATCGACTTAGGAAAGAAGACCCTTTTGAGGATTGGCTAATCAAGTGCCTGTGTTAAACATAGCTCATTGCTGTGGTGCAGGCGCAGAAACAAGTTGGTGGTAACTTTATATATATATAAAAGACAATAACAACACAATCAGTACCAATTCCTTAGATATAACTGGGAGGATGTGATTTAAAATGTGATGGGTGGGTAAGGATGAAAGAAATAAGCAGGATATTTTAACACATTGTGTAGTACGTGGGGCATAATCCTGACTCATTCATAGACCTGTCAGATTCCTGCATAAATTAAATTTGCTTTGGAAGAACTTTACCCCCCCCCCCCAAACATCCTCCTGTTTGCCGTCTTTGGCAAGTATCTGTCATGTAGTTGGAAACAGAATTAACAAACTGCCTGGATAACTCTGGTTGTGATCCTGCCGGTGCATTCACACACTGTTGCCATTATTTGGGTAGAATGTACATACGTATTTTAAAAAAAAATCCGCAATTTTAAAAATATCTTTAGTACTTGCCACGATCCAAATCTTGAAATCTTTTATTGCTCTTGCGAATCTTTTTTACTTCTTAAAATCTTATTTGCCAATAGCCTCGAATTTTTTTAAATCAAAGGTTAGCAGATATTTAGAGAAGTTAGACTTTCCAAAATTATCTTTAACGAATATACTTTCATTTGATTGTTTGGCTTGGGCTTACTTGTGCACTAGGCTATCTCCTACGGCAGGGGTAGTCAACCTTGGCTCTTTTATGACTCGTGGACTTCAACTCCCAGAATTCCTGAGCCAGCTTAGCTGGCTCAGGAATTCTGGGAGTTGAAGTCCACGAGTCATAAAAGAGCCAAGGTTGACTACCCGTCCTACGGATTTATCGGTTCGGAGCAGGCTCTACCGCGGACGCCTGTTGGAGGGGGTCCTCCGGGAATGTGAAAGTAGCACGTGGGGAAACGCAGCGGACGCGGGTACAGCCGGCTGGAGTGGCAGGTAGGGCGGGGCGCTGGAGTCGCGGGTCAGCCTCCAAACCCCCTTAAATCCTTTCCTTTTCCAGAAAGCTTTTGTGCTTATGGGGTGTGGCTTTTCCGGTCCCCTAAAAACAGCGGTCTTCAAACTGGGAGTGCACCAAGATGATTTATTGGGGAGCAAGAGGAGCATTTCCGAATGTCTCCTTTTCGTTTAGGGTTCAGCTTGAAGAATTTAAAGTATGCCAATATGTGATCTGCTGCTTGTTGAAGATCTCCCCCCTCCCATCTTAGATTTGGGGCATCCCATTCCTCACTCTTAGTTGCACCCCAAAAGTTCCAGGTTTCTTACAGGTTGCTTCTTCTGTGGTTTCCCCCCCCCCCCCCATAGAACTCCTGTTCTTGGTATCCAAATCAGCTGGATTGGGGGGCTTTCCTACTGGGAGGTGAATTTATTTATTTCTTTAGTAAGCTCATATGCCCCATCTCGCCTAGAGGCAATTTTAAAAAGGAGTAGTCCAGGGGTAGGCAACCTTGGCTCTTCTATGACTCGTGGACTTCAACTCCCAGAATTCCTGAGCCAGCATGCTGGCTCAGGAATTCTGGGAGTTGAAGTCCACGAGTCATAAAAGAGCCAAGGTTGCCTACCCCTGGACTAGTTGACCGTTGCCCAGAATTTAATGCCCTTGTATATACACTAGTTTTATTGAAACCAATACTTTTTCAAACTTGGCAATTTTAAGATTCAGCTCCCAGAATTCCCCAGCCAGAATGCTGTCCACACATCTCAAGTTGTCAAGTCTGAAAAACACTGATATACACTTGGGTTTCTTTATAAGGAAAGAAAGCAGGGCTTTATTTTTTTTGTCATAGAATGCCCAGAACGGAATTTCACCACCTTTTTTGGATGGAACCTTGTAGGGTAGGCAAGGCGGGTTGTATGACGTGTGTGAGTTCCGGCACCTTTTTTTTTTTTTTTTACAAAAAAAGCACTGAAAGAAAGTAAGGCATTTCCAACATATAGACTTTCAAGATGTCATTGTTGTAAATCTGATGCAATAATAGCAGATATTGTGGTACAGTACTTTAAAAGAAGTGGCAATGTATGTAAGCGTCGCATAATCCAAGACAGATTTACTAGCTGTCCTCTGAGCCATCTTTCTCTCTCAGGCCAACTCTACCCCACAGGGTTGATGCTGCAAAAAAAAAAAGGGATAGAATAACAATAACAGAGTTGGAAGGACCTTGAAGGTCTTCTAGTCCAACTCCCTGCTCAAGCAGGAGACCCTATACCATTCCATACAGGAGGCTGTCCAGTCTCTTTTTAAAGGCCTCCAGTGATGGAGCATCCACAATTTCTGACAGGCCGTTCCACTGGTTAAATCTTCTCGCTGTTAGGACATTTCTCCTTAATTCCAGATTGCTTCTCTCCTTGATTAGTTTCCATCCATTATTTCTTGTCTTGCCTTTTGGCGCTTTGGAGAATAGGATGCTTTGGATGAGACATGTTATGTAGGCAACCTTGAGCTTCTATAAAAAAAAGAAATGAGATATGAATCCAATGAACAACTGGCAAGAGGTTGTGAGGGAGGTTTACATTAATTAAAGCCAAATAAATTGTACATGGCTTTGAATGTTTGTGTCTGTATGGAAGGAAATAAATCAGAAATATCTGACCTGACCTGGGTCATTGATAACTGTAACCATCAAAAAAGAAGCTGATGAAACATTGGAAGTTTGCAGTAGATTACATCATCTAAATGAACTGATAGAACTAGCAAGGGTCAAAATGAGTCAAGCACATTCTAAAACTAGGAAATTCTTTAGCTGTCGTTGCTCCATTATATAGCAAGTGAATCCTGTGTTTAGACGTCTGTCACTAACAGGTTAGTTTGAGGGTGGCATTTGATTTACTATCTTGTAAAAAACATTTGTTCTGTTTTCTGCCTTGAGCAAAATAATTCTCAGATATTTGTGCAAGGAAACTATTACAAACTGAAAGAAAATTGGTTCTTTTTTTTAAAGGAGCTGGGCTGTTAATATATTAATGAATAATATGGATGGAGTAGATAGATAGATGGCTAGGTGCTGTGTGAGGTGAAAATTATATATATGACAGATTTGCAGTACTGTTTGTTTTGATTCAATTTACCCCCTCCCCATTTTTATATATTTTTTTTGGCCAAGGATTGTATTTGGCCTTTAAATCTCATGGCGTACTTCCAAAATTGAGCTGGATAAAAATAAACGCTACATTTAATTTACCCGAGTTTAAACGTAAATATAATTTAAATGGAATTACAGGTAGTTCTCAGCTTAACCATTCATTTAGCGACCATTTGAAGTTGCAACCCACTGGTCCTCGCACTTACAACATTCCCATGGTCACTTGACCAAAATTTGGCAACTGGAATGTATTTACAATGGCTGCAGTGTCCCGGGGTCATCTGATCGCCATTTACGACCTTCCCAGCCAGTTTTTGAAAAACGAAGTTAATAGGAAAAGTTGGATTCGCCTAACAGCTGCAGTGATTCATTTAACAACCGTGGCAAAAAAGGTTGTAAAATCAGGTGCGACTCACTTAACAATTGCCCAGCTTAGACACAGAAATTCTGGTACCCGTTGTGGTCGTAAGTTGAGGACTACACCGCTGTTATTAAGTGCAAATAATACAGTTTCTACCTTTGTATTTCTCATTCTGAGTTTTTAAATATTTCAGGGCAAGTTTTAGAGGGAAAGATGGGCCTCTTTGTTTCAAAGGACTCTCGTTAATTCAGCTCGAGTTCTGCGCCACAGTTTAGTGTCACTGGTAGAACCTGTTAGGTGTATGAATGAGCAGCTGAGCTTCAATTGTCTCTTCCATTTTCTCGTCTTTTGATTAGAAGCATCTACCAGCGAAAGCAGAGAGGGACCCCTTTAGATCAGGGTTTCCCAAACCTGGCAACTTTAAGCTAGATGGACTTTAATTCTTCACGTTTCTTTTTTTCTTTTTCTTTTTCTTCCTTCTGATGACATTCCTAGGGTAAGGTGAAGAAATATGGGACAAAACAGTATTTCTCAATTTTGGAAACTTTTAAGACATGCCGTGGCTGGCTGGGGAATTCTGGGAGTTGAAGTCTGCATCTCTTAAAGTTGCCTTGGTTGAGAAATATAGTTGTAGGTCGCTCCACTGCAGACCACTCTATACTGCAGGATAGTTGAGCTCCCTCCCTCCCGCCCTCCCTCCTTCCTTCCTTCCTTCCTTCCTTCCTTCCTTCCTTCCTTCCTTCCTTCCTTCCTTCCTTCCTTCCTTCCTNCCTTCCCTCCCTTCCTCCCTCCCTCCCTCCCCACCTTCCCTCCCTTCCTTCCTTTTTATTTGCCGCCCATCTGGTCTCAGGGTGACTAGAAATGCCATTTCTTTTCCAATTCTTCAAAGTTTATTACTGAATCGTGGTTATAGAGATGCAGGACGTGAGCAGGCCGTTTCTCTTCATCTTCCTTCTTGTTCTTGATTTCCAGGTCTCTCTGTCCTCTCATCATGCCTACCCTCTACATCTGCCCCCATCCTGACAACTTCCAGAACGTCCGTGTGTTGGTCGCAGCCCGTTATGGCCGGCAGGAGCTCACGGTGGTTGAACTTCCTCCCAATGCCGAATTCAAGAATCGTTTTTTCTCTCTGCCCAAACTCCCAGCTCTGGAAACCAGAGCGGGGGTTTATGTATCGGGGCCTGTAGCTGTTTCTTACCTGCTGTCTCCAGATGTTATGAGAGGGCACACTCCCGAAGCAAGAGCCTTGGTGCGGCAGTGGATCAGCTACGCTGACATGGAAATCGCTCCCGCAGCCTGTGCTGTCGCTTTCTCTTCACTGAGGGTTTCCAAGCAAAATAAACAGGTGAGGATGCTGAGGTGCAGTGCCTGGGCTGAGGTTGATAGGCCCAAATCAGAAGGTGTCCGGTAGCGTGAAAGCTTGTGCCTTTTAAGGAAATGTGTTACAGGGTAGTCCTTGACTTACAGCCACAATTGAGCCCAAAATTTCTATTGCTAAACAAGAGAATTGGTAAGATAAATTTTGCCCCGCTTTATGACCTTTCTTGCTACAGTTGCTAAGTGAATCACCGCAGCTGTAAAGTTAGTAACACGGTTGTTAAGTGAATCTGGCTTCCCTATAAACTTTGCTTGTCAGAAAGTGGCAACGCTTCCTGTGACCCTGGGAGACTGCAGCCAACTTAAATACATGCCAGTTGCCAAGTGTACAAATTGTGTTCATGTGACCAGGGGAATAATTTTTGGGCTGCCTATAACTTACAGAATATCTACTTCCCAGGTGTCCGCTGCCATGTGATGAGATAAAATATAAATATCTACATTTTCAGCCTGTATAGCTATTAGTCTGGCAGATAGGAAATGCTGAGAGATTTAATCCTGATTCATCTGGAAATCGTTAGGCTAGGCTAAATTGTTGTGAGTTGGAAAGTCCTTGATTCACAGAGGGACCAAGACATTGATCCAAAGGAAAAAGGAATTAAAATCCAGATTGCTAAAAATATTGTTAGACCTTTTGGCATTTGTCTAGTATCTGAAGAAAATAAGCAGGTTTCTCTCGAAGTTCTCTTTAGCAAGATTTATCAAGAATAAAAGGCTGAGAACAGTATCATAATTGTATAACTAAGGAATTAATATCCTCAACAAATACACCCAAGAACAGATCTGGGCATTTTATAGCCCGTGGGTCACATCCAGCCCTTTGGCTATCGCTGTCTGGCCCACAGCAGCAGCGGAAGTGGTGATGGGGTGGTGGTCCCCCCACAAAAGTCCCAGTTTTTCTGGGAAAGTTAATTGCCCATCCCTGCCCAAGAGTCATGATTGTTCCGAATTGATCTAGGCATTTGATTCAGATGTGGTTTTAAAAAAAACCTAGATCATAATGATCTACAAAAAAGCTTAACATCAGAATTCAAAGGCCACCAAAGGCATACTTACAACAGTTAATTTAGTGACTGTTTAAACTTACAACTGCACTGAAAAAAAGTGACTTATGGCTGTGTTTTTTACACTTATGACCATTGCAGCATCCCCATGGTCACATGATCAAAATTCAGATGCTTGGCAACTGCCCTCATATTTATGATAGTTGCAGTGTCGTCCCGTGGTCATGTGATCACCTTTTGCTACCTTCTGACAAGCAAAGTCAATGGGGAAGCCAGGTTCACTTAACAACCGTATTGCTAACTTAACAACAGCAGTGATTCACTTAATAACTGTGGCAAGAAAGGTTGTAAAATGGGGCAAAACCTCACTTAACACCTGTCTTGCTTAACAACTGAAATTTTGGACTCCATTGTGGTTGTAAATTGAGGAGTACCTGTACTACATTACACCTTAGAACAAAGTTGTGTGCATGGGAGGAAGAGTGAAGGAATCGAAAATGTTTTCCTGTTTCTTGGGGGCAGTAATATAGAAACAGGAATAAAAACGTATTTTTAATCCTTTTGGGGATCACGTAGGAGCCACTTGCAGATCACGCCTTACTCTCCTCTCCTACTCAGGGGCTGGATCGTGCTGTAGCAGAACTGCAGCATCTCCTTGGGGTGCTGGACAGTCACCTGAAGCTTCGGACGTACCTGGTGGGGGAAACCATGACCTTGGCCGATGTGACCGCTGCTTGTTCTCTTTTGTTGCCGTATAAATATGTGAGTTTTCCTGTGTCATTGTTCTTCTCTTTCTTTTTCTTTTTTTTTTTTGTTCTTTCGGTATTTTGGCAGGACATTTTCTACCCTTATGTAAACTGACCTTTTCTTTCCACGAAGGGGAGAAAAATCAACATCTGTAGCAAGGTCATTTAAACAATAGTGGGCAACTTTTTCACTTTCCACCTTTTAACAAAATTTAGTTCATGCCAACACCATATCTTTCTGTCCTTGCAGCATGGTTTCCTTAGACTAGTTCTTCTCAATCCTTTCATTTCTTCTTCTTTTTTGAATAATTTTTTTTTATTTTATTCGGAAAGTTAAGGTAAAATACAAACTAAAAAAAAAGAAGGAAAAAAGTTTTACAAAAACAAATCGAAGATAGACAAAACAGGCATCACTCTAGCCTTTGTCTATCCACTGCAGGATGAAGGCTGAATGTTTTGAAGACAAAAGATTAGGAAAGAAAAAACAATGTGCGCTGAAAAAGACAAAGGACAAAACCACATATACAAATACAATGGTGGGAAAAAATATTTGATCCCTTGCTGATTTTGTACGTTTGCCCTCTGACAAAGAAATGATCTGTCTATAATTTTAATGGTAGGTTTATTTTAACAGTGAGAGACAGAATAACAACAAAAAAATCCAGAAAAACGCATTTCAAAAAAGTTATAAATTGATTTGCATTTTAATGAGTGCAATAAGTATTTGATCCCCTATCAATCAGCAAGATTTCTGGCTCTCAGGTGTCTTTTATACAGGTAACGAACGGAGATTAAGAGCACTCTCTTAAAGGCAGTGCTCCTAATCTCAGCTTGTTACCTGTATAAAACACACCTGTCCACAGAAGCAATCAATCAGATTACAAACTCTCCACCATGGCCAAGACCAAAGAGCTATCCAAGGATGTCAAGGACAAGATTGTAGACCTACACAAAGCTGGAATGGGCTACAAGACTATCGCCAAGCAGCTTGGTGAGAAGGTGACAACAATTGGTGCGATTATTTGCAAATGGAAGAAACACAAAATAACTGTCAATCTCCCTCGGTCTGGGGCTCCATGCAAGATCTCACCTCGGTGAGGAATCAGAATGATATGGGAGGATGTTATCAATGATCTCAAGGCAGCTGGGACCATAGTCACTAAGAAAACAATTGGTAACATACTATGCCATGAAGGACTGAAATCCTGCAGCGCCTGCAAGGTCCCCCTGCTCAAGAAAACACATGTACAGGCCCATCTGAAGTTTGCCAATGAACATCTGAATGATTCAGAGGAGAACTGGGTGAAAGTGTTATGGTCAGATGAGACCAAAATTGAGCTCTTTGGCATCAACTCAACTCACGGTGTTAGGAAGAGGAGGAATGCTGCCTGTGACCGCAAGAACACCATCCCTACCCTCAAACATGAAGGTGGAAACATTATGCTTTGGGGGTGTTTTACTACTAAGGGGACAGGACAACTTCACTGCATCAAAGGGACGGTGGACGGGGCCGTGTACTGTCAAATCTTGGGTGAGAACCTCCTTCCCTCAGCCAGGGCATTGAAAATGGGTCATGGATGAGTATTCCAGCATGACAATGACCCAAAACACATGGCCAAGGCAACAAAGGAGTGGCTCAAGAAGAAGCATATTAAAGTCCTGGAGTGGCCTAGCCAGTCTCCAGACCTTAATCCCATAGAAAATCTGTGGAGGGAGCTGAAGGATCGAACTGCCAAACATGAGCCTTGAAACCTTAATGACTTGGAGAATATCTGCAAAGAGGAGTGGGACAAAGTCCCTCCTGAGATGTGTGCAAACCTTGTGGCCAACTACAAGAAACATCTGACCTCTGTGATTGCCAACAAAGGTTTTGCCACCAAGTACTAAGTCATGTTTTGCGAAGGGGTCAAATACTTATTTCACTCATTAAAATGCAAATCAATTTATAACTTTTTTGAAATGCGTTCTTCTGGATTTTTTTGTTGTTATTCTGTCTCTCACTGTTAAAATAAACCTACCATTAAAATTATAGACTGATCATTTCTTTGTCAGTGGACAAACATACAAAATCAGCAGGGGATCAAATACTTTTTTTCCCCACTGCAGCAATAGATTTATATACCATTTCACAGTGCTTTACAGCCCTCTCTAAGTGGTTTACAGAGTCAGCATATTGTCCCCCAACCATCTGGGTCCTCATTTTATCAACCTCGGAAGGCTGAGTCAACCTTGAGCTGGTGAGAATCAAACTCCTGGCAGTGAGCAGAGTTTGCCTGCAATACTGCATTCTAACCACTGTGCCACCGTGGTTCCTACATAATATATTACATATATTATTCCCCTTAGTTGGATACTGATAAATATATTGCAACAGTATTAGTTATCCCCCCCCTTGCGAAGCAGGCCCAAAATTTATAAGCTTCTGTTTGTAACCAATTTGACCTGTCATCTATCTACTATATATACCTGAAGGCAAGACAAGAAGCAATGGATGGAAACTGACCAAAGAGAGAAGCAACCTAGAACTAAGGAGAAACTTCCTGACAGTCAGAACAATTAATCAGTGAAACAACCTGCCTCCAGATGAATGCTCCAACACTGGAGGTTTTTAAGAAGAGACTGGACAGCCATTTGTCTGAAATGGTATAGGGTTTCCTGCCTGAGCAGGGGTTGGACTAGATGACCTCCAAGGTCCCTTCCAACTTTATTATTATTATTATAAAGGCAAAATAGTTAACAGGTAATCCAACAGCAAAGTTAAACTTTAAAGCTCTCTCTTAACAATCTATTATTGTATTTAACTCTTAGAAAGTCTGTAATGGCTTTTTATTTACCATAAATCACCACAATTATTATCCATCTGTGATTAAATACCCTCATATGATTCTTAATAATAAAACTTCTTCTTAAGATTTTGGTTGAAAACTTTCCCCACAATTGTGTCTTATTCCTCAAAATCATAAACCTCCTTTGTCGATCCATTTTCCTAAAAAGGTCTAGTAGTCCAAATTGTTTTCCAGTTAGATATACTGAGTCTATTCCTCAATCACCATCAATCTTCTTGAGAAAATCCAGTTCATCATTCATTGATTCTGTTAATTCCAAATTTGTAGAATCCATATTCCCCTTCAGCTTTTGAATAGTCATTAAGCAACCGGACTACCTGTGTATTGCATAGAGTCCCATGGATAATTACGACAACTAATCAGTGGAATAAATAATATAGATTAATAACGTCCTTCTCTCCGATGCCTCTTCTAGGTCCTCAACCAAACCCTTCGCACTTATTTTATCAATCTTACTCGATGGTTCCTGACGTGTATCAACCAACCAGAATTCCAGGCTGTCTTGGGCCCAGTGAGGTTGTGTGAAGAGGCCCCAGGAGGAGGTGTTCTAGAACTGGACTTTAAAGGTAAGCCTTGCCTGTGGTTGGCCTCTTTTCAAATCCTCATTAGTTGGCAGTCACAATCGGGCTCCAGCTTATGTGAACAACAACAATTTCACCTAACGACCGAATTGCTGATCCCAATTATGAATGCTAACGGAGAACGGCTTGTATTTTTCAAATCGTTGTACCCAAGCTTGGATGAAGCATGGACTCAGCTCCCACTGTCTTCATACAGTGTGAAGAATCACATAATAACAGTGGGAAGGGATCTTGGAGGTCTTCTAGTCCAACCCCCTGCTCAGGCAGGAAACCCTATACAACAGCACCTTGCTGAAGACAACCAGATTTGCAGGCACAGTGGACTTTTGCCATGTTGCCTGCCTTAGAACGACTGAATAGAGGAAAGCTCTTAAGTTCATCCATTTGTATTTTTCCACCTCCAATCAGTTTCCTCTGAAGCTGAGTTGCTGGAGAAGAAGCAGATACAGGAGCCCCCTCCCAAAAGCGAGTCACAGCTGAAGAAGGAGGCCAAAAAGAAAGAAAAAATGGACAAGTTTCTTCAGAAGAAGGAAAAGAGTCTGCAGCAACAGGGAGAGGTAGGCGTTGTAGAAGGAGAACAGAGTTAAATAGGCCTGCACCCGCAAAAACAGTAACTCAACCATTTTAGCTTGTGTATGTGTGTGTGTGTGTGTGTGTGTCAGCTTGAAGTGTGGGTTTCAATTCCCAAAATTGGCTGGGGAATTCTGGGAGTTGAAGTCCACTCATCTTTAAGTTGCCAAGGTAGAGAACGATTGTGCTAGATCAGGGGTCTTCAAACTTGGCCCTTTTATGACGTGTGGACTTCAACTCCCAGAATTCCTCAGCCAGGCATGCTGGCTGAGGAATTCTGGGAGTTGAAGTACACAAGTCATAAAAGGGCCAGGTTTGAAGACCCCTTGCTAGATAGATAACCAGCTTTGTCCATGTAGCATATAATGGTAATAGCCATTCCCATTTATCTGACATAGTATTGGATAGTGTATTATAATATGGGAAGGAGAATAGATGAAGTGCTTTTTGACTTTCTGCAGCAGAGATGAAGGAATTGTTTTTTCCCCCAAGGATTGGGACAATACAGATAGTCCTTGACTTATGACCACAAGTTAGTTAGTAGCCGTGTTACTAACTTAACAACTGCAGTGATTCACTTAACAACTGTGGTAAGAAAGTTAGTAAAATGGGGCAAAACTCACTTAACAAATGTCTCACTTAACAACAGAAATTCTCGGCTCAACTGCAGTTGTAAGTCAAGGACTACCTTTATTTAATATTTAACTGTTTCAGGTCATTTTAGCAGGATTTTAGAGGTTACAGATTGTATTTCCCACCCCTAGAGAAATACTACAGCTGAATAATAATGGAATTTGAAGAATATTTTTCCCAAATGATCTTTAAGAAAAGGAAGTGTATATTGTATCATATAAATAATTTTCTTAAGATAATGTGCCTAGGGGGGAAAAATCACACCAGAATATTGTTTGATCATTCAGTGCTGCCTGCCGGTCTCTCTGTCTGGGTATTTATTTTGCAATAAATTCTCATTCTCATGGATCAAATTCTGTTAGAGAAATTGTAGCTTAACTGATGTTCTTTTCCATCTGGTTTTTTTTTTTTTTTTTGGCTCATGTCGTTTTCTTGTTGGATTGCTATGCTTTAATGTGATGTAACATCCTGATTCTTTATAGAAGAAGCCAAAAGCTGAGAAGAAAGACAAGAAGGATCTCGGGATCATCACCTATGATGTCCCTACCAAACAAGGGGAGAAAAAAGGTAAGTTATTGCAGATAAGGGATTGGAGAATTTGCCCATCACTCTTTGGGGGAAACAACTCTGAACTAATCAAATAACCTTTCTTGGAATTGTATGTTCAAAATAGTTAGAGCTGAACAAATTCCACTTGGTAACAATGTAACCTTCTGAGCTTGCTTGTTTTCTTGCAGACGTTTCATTACCCTAACTAGGTAACATCATCAGTGTTAGTGTAGCGGGGACTGCCTGAGAGTGCTGGCAGGAGCTTGACTGGGAAGGAAAAGATTGGGACAGCTGCAGTTGGCTTTGGGTGTGGCTGGCGTGAGTGGAAGGAGGAAGGATAGAAAAGGAAAGGAAAGGAGAAGGCCGGGGTTGGTTGGAGTTGAGAAGAGAAGGTCTGGAAGCTTATTTTATTTTTCTATCAAGGG